TACTTTATTAACATTAAATTAATATTTAATAATTAATGTGATGGATGAGCCTGCAGATCGCTGCACATTTTGTCAAATTGAAGCTTTTACAATATTTCGCGGCGCACAGTTTGGGAATCACTGTACTAAGGGATTGTTCGAAACCCAGTTTTTTTATATGTCTAGCCTCGAAGTTTGTTGGTATTTTGAGTAAATTAGACCCGAGTTCGGGCGCGAAAAGTGTGACCTCATCTGCCTGACTTTCCGACAAGCAGGCGGACGACTACTCGCCGTGGAGCCACCAACCTCATCGAGGGTTCACATCGACGAGCTTGACTACAACCGAGTCCGGTTTCGATGCGGCCTGCCGGAGTGTTGGCCGCTTTGGTCAGTGGGGCTCTGTCCTCGGGACATCGTCAGCCGGTTGCAAGGCAATGAGATAAGTCGGCAATTAATTTACTTGATGAGGCATAAATAATAAACCTTTCATGCTGGAATGAGTTGCTACAGTCGAACAGTTGATGCGAGCTTTTATGGAGGAATTGCTCTTCTCTTCTGCCCCCCGACTTGCGCGACTCGGGGCTTGAATCAAAACGGCCACCACCCGCTTGTAGGCAGCTGGGCTCCACTCATCTGTATGCAGTGTAGCTGTGTGTCCACCCACCGCGGGACATACACATGGGGGCATGTATGATTGCTGACGCATAGACGCAATCGAGCCTGGCTCGGACAGTTTGCTTTTTGGGCCTGGACGAACTGATCAAATTAGTGACAATATCTTCTCAAAAGTGAGTAGTCGCAAGTGAGGCTTATCAGAGCGGCAGAGTTGTTGTGCCCATCTCTGCGGAAACGGGAGGAGGTAATACTGTTAATGTGTGTGTCTGTGTGTGTGTGTGTGTGTCTGCATATATTGGCTTATGCGAGCGCGTCTATGCCTATGTGCCACGTGTGCATGTGTGTCTATCTGTACATGAAATGAAGAGGATAGGGGCGATGCGCCGTAACGAGTTAACATGTAATGACGTGAAGGTGCAGAAGGAGGAGTTGCGTCTGCTTGGAGAAACGAGGAGAGATGAGCTATTTTGAAGGGAAATGCCAGACGAAACGCTTCTGTATCACCCGTAAAGGGAACAAGTTCACTCATCTCTCGAGCGAATACTGCTTCGTATGCAAACCTTGCATTGTGTGTGTTGCCAAATCGGCTGTAAGAAGTTGATATTTTGCTCCCACCTCCGGTTAGAGACTATTAGACTGTACCGGTTATCTAATTATCCTGCCGGTCAGGCTTTTGTATCCTTTGCCCGGCTCAGGTGGCCAGGTGGATGGCTACGAGTTGGCAAAATCTACAAACCGTGGAGGGAGAAGAAGGAAAAGAAGGTATTGTTGCGACCTCCTTTGAACTTAGCTTAAGCTGTTCGGCTAAATCTACCCCAGAGTGGTGTAGAACGGCTTGGTACATGCTGGCCAACGCGAATGCGTGACGGCATGGAAGTGATGTCCGCCGGGACGTGGGCAGCCGTGACAACCTCCACGGAAACGAGGTCAGTGTCGGCGCCCAACTCAAGACCGCATCGACTGCAGCAGCAGACCATCGAAGTCAACTTCGAAGGGCTGGACACTTGCAGATACCATTTGGACAAAGCAATCAGCCATAGCGCTCTTTGCAAACCGTTGACGGTCGGAAAGTTCTTTATAAGCTATACTGACTGCATAAAATGTGAAGGGACAAACAGGTTTATTCGGTTTCCATTTACTAATAGGTTTTTGTGACTGCCAGCAGATCGCATAAAAGAGCTGTATTCACACTATTTTGTTTCAGCTAATGAAGGACTGGTAATGGGCTTTTCGCATAATAAGATAAGTAGGCCTTTCGATACCATTCAATTTAGCATAGCCTTAATTTCCAAAAGGTATTTTAACAAAATTGTGATTATAAAAATGCTATAGACAGAAAAAGAGATAGAGGGAGATTAGGGATAGGCTGATTGCAATTTCTAGGCACATAGTTTTAAAAGGGGCGATAAATAGTTAAAGAACAGGATTGTTGATGTAATTGCATTTCGACTGGTTACATAGTCAAAAACATCCTCACGTTCGACCTATTCAAGCCTCACCGGAATCCGAAAATAGGGCAGGCAGATACACTTGGACCGTCCTGCTACCGAGCGAGAGTATGAAATGGCAAATATGGCTTCCTCAACTCATTATTCACAAGCACTTATAGGATGTATATCCTTATAAATAGGTGTTGGCGTGCATTTGTATATGCACACACACATGCTTGTGTGTGATAGTAGAATTTTCCCACAATGATGCGAGTAAAACTGAAGTTTCCACCGAATTTTACATAGCCTTGCCTTCCCAAAAGTTGTTGTCATCCAGGGTGGGCTGCAGTTTCGACTTCGCCTAGTCTCGACCCCCAGCGGGAGTCGAACCACAACAGTGCAACGTGTAAGCTCGTCACGTTAACCACACCGCCACATTGCCACGAGGGCCATTGGGTCACGGGGCAGATGCGAATTTCAAGAAAAACCAGGCATTATCCTATATCGCATTGTGTGGTGGGATTGTCGATGAAGCAAACTTATATTTGGTATGGCAATCGCTGATACTACATATACTTCGTGTTGAGTTGGTTTTCGTAACTACAAATAAAGCAAATCCATGAGTCATGTTCACCCTATTTCGTTTAAGGTGATGAAAAAGTGTTCGCTGAATATTCCTACAATGCTTCATCGTCAATCCCACCATAGAATGGAAAACCTGGCCTTCCTTGAAATTCGCATCTGTCCTGTGACCCAAAGAAATTCGTGTAGATGTGGCGAAGTAGTTAACGTGTCGAGATAACACACAACACTGTCATGGTTCGAGCCCCGTAGGGGCTGCTGATAAAACCTTGGCAAGATCTAAACTGCAATCCACCCTGGACGAGGAAACCTTTTAGTAAGGCAAGTTTATGTGAAATTCAATGGAAACGTCAGCTCTACTCATATCATTGTGGGAAAATTCTACTACCAGTCCTTC